CTCCCTGGTCAAAAAGGCGTGCACTCAGCCATGTTTCTTGGTTGGCTAGTTCAAGTTCCAAGTCCCAGCCCAATGCCAAGCAGCCACTTGTCTCCCATTAAGGTGGCATATCCTTTCGGAATTAATCTTGCTGGATTGGTTCTCAACATAACAAAAAATGGAAAAAAGTTTTCGGGAGTCTTGGGCTGAAAAGCTGTGGAATCCGAGTGCCTGGATTCGAATTCGCTTCCAATCCCGCCTCAATCGACTCGATCTGCGTCTGCTTCTGCTTGATCTGCAGATGCAAATGTTGAAAGAAAGTAGGCTCTCCCAGGCCGCTTCGGAAGACTTGCTTCCACTTACAAAGGCTTCTGGGAGCTTCCGTGTTAGTCTGAGGGGTTGTAGGCTTCTGGAAATCCAACAAGTCCAAGAATTGGACCACGGAATACGAAAACTTGACAAACCACATGGATCAGGTCTGCGCTTTTCATCACGAAGTCTGGGTCTTGGTTGTTGTGATGACTGACACACACGATGCATCAGCAATGACTCCTTGATGCGAAAATTGTCAATCACCCCTGTCAGCATTCGCCGTATAATATGATATGAGTCAGTCATATGCACAATAGCCGCATTCAATAGCCAAAAACATGCGAATGGCCTCTGCATCGAGCTTCTTGTTTTCCTGGCAAGGCCAGCAGCATGCTGAGACCAACAACAACAACAACAACAACAACAACAACAACAACAACAACAACAACAACAACAACAACAACAACAACAACAACAACAACAACAACAACAACAACAACAACAACAACAACAACAACAACAACAACAACAACAACAACAACAACGACACGACGACGACGACGACGACGACGACGACGACGACGACGACGACGACGACGACGACGACGACGACGACGACGACGACGACGACGACGACGACGACGACGACGACGACGACGACGACGACGACGACGACGACGACGACGACGACCACAACGACAACGACAACGACAACGACAACAACGACAACAACGACAACAACAAGAACAACAAGAACAACAACATCAACAACATCAACATCAAATTTAACCACAACAAGTGACAACAAGCTCATGTTCCTCAACAATGTCAACAACATCATCATCATCAACAACAGCAATCACAACCACAACCACAACCACAACCCCAATCACAACCACAATAACAGCGACAACAAAAATAAGCAGCAGCAGCAGCAGCAGCAGCAGCAGCAGCAGCAGCAGCAGCAGCAGCAGCAGCAGCAGCAGCAGCAGCAGCAGCAGCAGCAAGAACAGGAACAGCAACAACCATGACGATTATAGCGAAACCGACAACAAACGATACACTAAAACGCCGAAAACACGACAGTCGTCAGAAGCCTACTAAATGCTACAATTTGGCAGGCAAACTTGCGGACCATTGGTTTTATTCAGCTACAGCGAAGCATGATCCGCAAGCTGCTGGCAGTGATCATGACATGTCATTCTTGTGCGTGACTCGCTCAGTTGGCTCTCCTCGCAGCCTTCAACAGCTCTACAGTTTCAATCAAACCAGTCCCCCGACAACTTAAGGTGCCTTACAAACCACCATCTGGGAAGCCTCAAAAACCGACACGCCCACATGACAATTCTATAATCTGGTAATCACGAAACTCCCGTTCCTCCGAGGCATAGGGCGGCAGCGAGTCCCCCAGGTCCAGGTCTACGTCCTGAGACAGCGGCAGCTTGGCGGGCGGGTGGGTTTTTGTCTCCCCAACTGGAGGCGGGAGTTGTTTAGCCATGGGTGGCCGTTTTGGAGAATAGTTGGACTTCCCTGCTAGATGATTGAAACAGGTAAACCAGGAATCGCCTGCTATTTGTTTAACTAAGCCAACCAAAAAGGACACCTATGGAGTTGTAACCCAACGAATCACGGAGCGCTTCCCCGATCCAGACTGCTCTTCGATTCTTCTGCAAAAAGCCCCAACCTGTGAAAAGGGGAGAATATGAGCAGGCCAGGACAAGCTGGGTCAGTCACCCCAACTAATTGATCAGTGTCCAATTGCATCAACAGATCTGAACATGAAAACGCTACATTTGCAAAAGGAGTGGCGACCGACCAAGAAAGAGAATCTTGTTTTGACCACCCCCGACTTCTGGCACCCCGGCTGGCGCTGCCATGTCCCTGGCTGCATTTTTCGAACGGAGCGCAAGTGGTTTTCACCGCAGAAAGCCACAAAACTGATAGCATCAACTGCTTCAAAGCACCTCGCATACACGAGAGTGTCGTCTTGAAACTCGCCAAACTGCGATTCCATCAACTTGAATAACTTTGGTGGCCTTGGCATCCCCTGCTTGTTGAAATGTACACTGCATACGATCTTATTAATCAGGATTGGCATCCAACACGTACACACACACACATACACGAGTGGAACCCAATGCCTGAAGCGCGCTCTGGCCAGAGGTGGCTGCAACTAGGGCCAACCTCACCCCATTCGCTCGCACCTTGACGGAGAAAAATGGCCACAGCCCCGTTCCAATTACAGTCATGCATGACACCCCTGAACGCTGATTCAGGCTTCTATGCATCACTGCAAAATGAAAAACTCAAACTAGGATGAATGCGCGTAGCCAAAACCGCACCCCACGCATTGCGGTCTTGTCAGCCAATAGGTGCGGGCTACATCAGCTTGCATTCCCAGCACTCGTGTGGCAGCTGATTGTTGATTCCTATGCTGCTGTGATGTTTGCTAGCGTTTTAAATAAAAAGCAGCAAACATTTTTACTTTGCAACAAACTGTGAAGAATTTTCAATGCACCCCTTGATCTGCCAGCAGTGGGTCGTGGGTCATGACACAAAAGAGACCTGGAAAATACCTGGACACATAATCATGGTTTTCGAGCCTTTGGCACCCGCAGTAGCCAAAAAAGAAATTAAACAATGTAAGAAACAATGATCAACACATAAGAAAATCTCTCCAACATGATTCTCAAACAGGAATCAAAACAGGAAGTTGCATGTGTGATCAAACCCAGGAATGCAAATCTAGTATTGGACGCATGAAATTCGAACATGAGCTGTATCCCCGTCAAAAACCATTTGACCAAACATGTGCCCGTCATCCAAACATATTTCAATGCAACTTAGCCGCACACACGGACAAGGACAACCACAAACGCAATGATGATTCCGGCGCTGGACAAGTGCCGGAACCGCATGAAAGGACCTGCCACACCGAGTTCATGAAAAAAGTATCGACGGCATCAGTGTTGATCCATGTTTGGATAGGCTTTGAATTGTTGTTTGTTGCATTCGGAAGGTTGAAGCGGAGGAGATGCTCCCAAGTTTAGCCCATGTGGTGGTGGCGACTCGGCTGCTTGTCGGCTCCTGCGTTGAGCTGCATTTCAATCATGCCACTTGCCGACGCGAATAAAATCTATGTCCATACGAGGGCTATTTCGCTTGCACTAGCGTGTGTTGCCTGCCTAAGTTCGGGCCTTTTCCGGTCCCGGTTGGTTGGGGTTGGGTCTCCTGAAGGGCGCTTTGACTTTTGTTTCATCGTGCCGTTGGCTCAGAGAGCATTTCACTGTCCTCTAGCGGGCTTAAACTGGGCAGTGTCTGCAACTCACCTCTTTTTGATGGTTTCCCCCGGGCCTCTCATCAGCAGCGAAGAGCGAGATGGCCGCCCAAATCCACCTGGTCAAGATTCCTGTGGCGCGAGGAGCCCTGTGGCTCGCGCATTGGGCTCCCGCCAACTTCGGCAAGGAGTAGTCAGAACAAGAACATGCAAATGGACGGGACTCGGTGAACCTCGCACGACCTGCCACAACGAAACCATGCCTACAGGAGGAACATGGTCGGCGAGGAGCCAACCGTTTCACTCTCTGTGGCGGCATCCTCAATGAAAGCCACTGCATCGGCCCCTCGAATTCTGCAGACTCACCAAACGCAACCTCCTCACTGGCGGAGCTTCGAACTTGGGTGATCTCAGAGCAACCTTCATCAGGAGGCTTCCCACGTCTCGCGGGAGCAGTCTGCCAGGGGTGGCATCCGGGTCACTGTCACGACATAAGATTACAGCTGAGTCAGACATCAAGTACGGGCTTCCCATTTCCCCTGCTTCCTGAGCCACTGCTTCTCTTTCTCAAACTTCCACTTTGCGCACTGACACACAGAAGAGCAGGCTTGCTACCTGGTGGAGGCAATCAAGCCTGTACACTCTGGTCCGCATGGACACGTGCTTGTCCTCACCAACCGCACAGACCAGGCCGCGCGTCTCCGCTCTTTGGGGTGGCCAGCTGGGCGTGAGATTCTAGCGGATGCCTTTGTCCAGTGCAGTGACTGTGCTCAGGCTGTCGTGGCAGCTGGGGCAACGGCGCTCATGATCGTCGTTTTTTGTCAGCTGACATGGAAGGAGCATCCCAAGCCATGGTTGTTTTTCGCGCGCAGTGGCGGTCTTTCTTCCCCGACATGTGAGGCCTGCTTGCTCGGCATTAGACTCTGGATGTGCAGCCCCTCAAGAAGGAAAGGAAGCCGGAGCCGAGTAGTAAGAAAAGACTGCCTATACCAACCTAATTATTTGGGATTTTTGGTCCCAAAACGCTCCAAAACAGCCAAATTTCGCCCAAAAAACGCTTGTTACCAGCGATGTCACCGCTTCGTCACCGCTCCGTTTTTGGAGCAAAAAGCGCTGAAAACGGCGAACTCCGAAAAGTGCGTTTTTCGTGTCCGGCGTCAAATGTGCTGCCTGGGCCTCCAAATTCGCTCGTTTTCCGCCGAAAACCGGCTCCAGGTGTTCGCCGTGCTCCGAAATCCGTTTTCTACCCCGAAAAGCCTGCGAATTCCAGCCCGCTGAGCTTGTCACCGCCGATGTCACCGGTCTCTAACACGTCAGCCTGCCGAGGTACACCACCTCCGTCGCCGGTGTCTAACACGACAGCCCGCCGAGGTGCTCCCACATAACACGTCAGCCTGCCGAGGTTCTCCCACATAACACGGCAGCCCGCTGAACTTGTCACCGCCGATGTCACCGGTCTCTAACACGTCAGCCCGCCGAGGTATCGGGGAGGAATCGAACCTCCGAAACGTCGCTCCGGAGACCAACGCCTCAGCCATCTCACCATCGGCTCTCGTTACCGTCCCAAAACGGCGCTTTTTGGCCCAAAAACGCTCTTGGGGCCGAAAAGTGCGCCCCAGTTCCTCGGTTCTTGGCAAGTTTGAGTCAATAATGGAACCGGGTGATTCATCAATGGCTCATGAATGGGCAAGGTTGGTTCATGAATGGGCAAGGTTGGTTCATGAATGGGCAAGGTTGGCTCATGAATGCCCCGCAAATCATAGCCGCTGAGACAAGTGTCGTCATGTGGCCGAGGTGTCCCAAGCGTTTTTGACCGACGCCATCGGCCAATTCATCAGAGGTCTCGCTTCATGCCCAGTCACACTTCGCGTACTGGTAGCACGGGGTGATAATTATGCGCTGCGAAGGCCCCGAATGACCCATAGCGACTCAAGTGAGGGAGCGTTGCGAAAGTACAACACCCCATTGTTACGAATTCGTGTAACACCTACTCCTAAGAAAACATGTTTGAAGGACCTGTCACGGGCAACATCCCGGAGGTCCTGGACAACGGAGAGGTCACTGACGGCACGCACGTCACAGCAGGACAGCTGGCCCTCGCTCTGACGCCCTACGCTCATTGCAAGTAACTGACCTGGCGGTGAACACGGCAGCCTCCGGCAACAACGCCGCTGCCATCCAGTCCCTGGACGACCGAGTCACCGCCGAGCTGGCCTCAAAGCTGGATAGCAGCGCGCTGGCGCCGGCAATTGCGCCCCTAGCAACGGCGGCGGCCCTGGCCACCACGGCACAGCACAGCAGCATCGAGCGCTGCAGAGCTCGCTGACCACGGGTCTCTCCAACAAGGCAGACCAGTCGGCCTTCGACGTGCTGGAGGGCGTGGTGGCCACCAAGAGCACCCCGGACGGCGTGGACCTGAAGCTGTCCAACTACAGCACCACGGCGGCCATGAACGGCTCCATCGCCTCGGCCAACAACGCCACGCTGGCCACGGTGGCCGCCAACTACGGCCTCAAGACGGTGGTGGACCAGCACTCCCTAGACATAGCGGCGAGGATCACGCCGCTGGAGGTGGACACCAAGGTGGCCAACGCTCTCCTGGGGGCCGTCACCGCCGCGGCGCTGGCCTCCGAGCTCGCGAGCCGAGACGCCTCCATCTCGGGGCTGCAGGCCTCCAAGGCAGACGCCAGCGCCCTGACTGCTTACGCCCTGCAGTCGGCCGTGGACACTTCCTCGGCGGTGGACTCTAAGATAGCGACAGCCCTCTTGGACGCTGTCACCACGGCAGCCCTGGACGCCGCCCTCCTCGGCAAGGCGGACGCAAGCGCGCTGGCCTCCCTGCTCTCCACGGTGGATGGGTTGGACACGCCGCTGGAGGTAGACACCAAGATAGCAAATGCCCTGCTGGGTCTCGCCACCGAGGCCTTCGTCGCAGCGCAGCTTGCTAGCCGGGACGCCAGCATCACGGCGCTCCAGGGGGCCAAGGCCGACGCGACGCTGCTGGCCTCATACGCCACGAACGCCGCGCTCTCGGCCAGCGAGACCACGCTCCAGAGCGCCCTCGACGCAATCCTCGCGGAGCTCGCAGCCCTGCAGCTTTCCGGCAGCGGCGGAGTTGTTAACGCGCCGGCCTGGGCGGGCTTCACGACTTGGGAGCTCGTTCGCGGAAGTAACGTCGTTCGCAACCTGCATCTGGGGGCTCCTCTCTCTGCTGCGCTGGCCAACGGCGACGACACGCTGAGCATCACGGCAGACTGCTACTCCACGGCGGACACTGACGCCGCTATAACCGCAGCCCTGCTGGCCTACTACACCTCGGCGCAGGTAGACGCGCTGTTGGGAGACTACCGCACAGCGCAGGGCGCGGAGGCGACCAGCGCCATCACAGGCGCACTGCTTGCCTACTACACCTCGGCGCAGGTAGACGCGCTGTTGGGAGACTACCGCACGGCAAGCGCGCAGGACACGCAGACGCAGGCCGCCATCGCGGCGCGCTGCTGGCCGACGTGTTCACAACCAACCAAATCACCTCGGCGCTGGTGGCGTACCGCTCAGCCGCAGACCAGGACACGGCAACGGCCTCGAGCATCGCAGCCGCGCTGCTCAGCTACTACACCATCGCACAAGTAGACGGCCTCCTTGCCGGCAAGCTCGGAGTCACGGAGGCAGCCTCGGCGCTGCAAATAGCAGTGCGCTTTCCGGACGACGGAGGGGCCGACGAGGTGGTGGCCGCCATACAAGAGCAGATCCTGGCCCCCACGGACGTCTCGCTGTCAAACTGGACGGTTCGCCCCAGCAGCGGCTGCAGCGTGGTCCTGGCCACGCACACCGCGGGCGCAGTGAGCGTGGACGGCTACACCCTGACCCTGGCGGTGAACCCGTGGAACATCGTGCGCACCTACAACTGGACCCCGGGCCGAGAGCTCCTCTTC